CTCGAGGGAATGGCCGACCGCTGCAGCAAAAATGTTGCTGCTAGTGGCGCTCGCCTTGTCAAGTAATTAGTAGGAGCGATCGGCTCCGATTGTTGCTGATGTATAAATATTTTCCCTGCCTTTCGTCGATTGTTGCGTTTTGGTGTTTTGTCCGGAGCGTTTTCTTTTTTCTGATTTTCTGGTAGCACGCGGAGGAGTTGGTTGGACTAAGAGAGAGTAATGAGCAAAGATCGGGGCCATTCTTAACGTGAAGACACCAACAACCAAAATATACTCAAATGCTACATGGCATGTCCCCGAAACACCCCAAGTACGCCACATCACGGGGAGAGCTATCGCCCTGCTCTCTGGTACACATATACAAAATCAAACTGCCCAGAGTTTCGACCGAAGCCAAATCGCTTCCAATATCACGCTTGTTGCACTCCCGCAACCTTCGTGGCCACCGCCCTTCAATGTATACCCTCTTTCCCATGTCCCCGCCGGAATTCCGCTTCGAAAAACAAAAGCCTTCAACTAGCTCTCAAGAACACTTGCAGCAGCGACTCTCCAGTGTGTGCCACATTCTCCTCGACGGTGGCGATCTAGGCGGGGCGGGCGGGCGTAGCCTTCCAGCGCCTGTTCGATTTCCAACAAGCAAGGCAAAATTGATTCAGTCGGGGTCGTTTCGGGGTATGTGGTCGCCGTCAAAACAGCCAAAACAGTTTGGGCGCGCGGCACAGGCGGTGCGATCGTCAAACTCATGCTACTTTGGCGCGCTTCGGCTGGCCCAAAAAGTGAAGTTCAAGCCGTTGCCGCCGTAGAAAAAAGGGAAACGAACACACACCAAATTGCCACGCCACTCACCGTCATGTTGTTTTCCAGGACCAGCTATTCCGATCCCCAGATTCCCTCCCTCCTCCCTCGCCCATCGTCTCAACCTCTTCGCCAGTGCTCGCTCCATGCGTTCCGCCCGTATTTCTTCGCTCTGCTCGAGCTGTGGAAACAGCAACGCCGTACAGTATTAGGTATTAAATCTTTTTGACCGGTCAGCACTCCCTCCCCCATACCCGCCCCTCCCGCGTCCGGGACGCCTCTGATAGCCGCAAGCTATTCCAGCCACCGCATTACGCTCCATCTGCTACCACCGCTTCCACCCGGGCCGTCCCACTACAGACCGCACCGGTTTTTCGCGAGCCTCAACAAAAAGGCGGTCAAAGTCCGTATTATTAGACGGCAGGCCCGAGACTTTCCTGAAAGGCGGGGTCCTCATCATATACTTTCTCTGCCTTTGTGCCGCCTCATCTTGCTGGTGCTCTCGCCCCAGCGCGCCGCTGGACACGCCACCGTTGCGAGCATCGCCCGTGACGGTTTCAGCATCGGCGGCGGCAGGTTCACCGGTTGATGTTGGTGTCAGCTCGGCGCAAGCATTGTGAAGCATTGCAGATGGCCTCGGTGACAGCACTAGCGGCGAGCTCAGCCACATCACCACCGTGAGCTGGCGTGACTACACACGTCCGGTGCGACAAAGGGGACGGGCAGCAGTGGGAATTTCAAGTTCGCTGTGTGTGCTTTTCCTTTTTGCGAAAAAAGAAGAGCAGTGCGTTGGACGCATCGATGCTTCTACTGAGAGAGCAGGGTAAGGAAAGCGAGAAGGAGAGAGTGAGGGAGAGTGAGCGGGTACAGGAGCGAGAGAAGAGAGAGAAAGGGAGACAGGAGCTAGAGAAAGGGAAAGAGAGAGAGGAAAAGATAGATGCGGTGTCACGACATGTTCACCGTGAAGGGTGGAGTTACCAC